TTCAATGGTGCCATTACAAAAATCTCTGAAATGCTTTTCAAGATTTATTGTCCAACACAGGATATAACAGCTAAGCGAAGAAGCAAAATACTTCAGCTATTACTACATGGCTTAAGAACCTTGAAAAATCCAAAATATAGTAAGGTCAAAATGAAAACAAAGGCAAAAAGATCCCTAAACTCACGGGTGCTCTAATCCCATTTTTCTACAAGGCACAAAACATGTGGACTTGAACTCATGAATGCTATAAATGCATCTGTTAACTGGCATGAGCCTGTGAAACAGGCACAGGCAGGTATGTGCTAGAAGATCTAAAGGCTTGATGGAGAGAAGTGGGTGGGAGTAATAAGGGAGGTGTGGGGCAAAGTAGGACAAGGTAGGGGGGCCCTGAGGGCAGAAGGAAGAAGCTCCCCAGAAGCTGGAAGGCTATACTTGAACAGGGAGGTGGGTGGAGTCAAGGAGAAAGTGGACCTGGAGATGAGGTTAAAACACTGGACAAGATTATTCAAACATAAAATACCCAAGTGCTGCAGGCAAAAGTAAGGTGGGAGGATAAGAAGCAGGAGGCTCTACGAATGAAAATCTGTGGGACAGAAAGCCATGTTAAAGCTCCAGAAAGGACTATAAGGTGAAAGGGACATTTGGCAAAGGAGTAAGGTAAAGGCAGCCCAAAGAGTGAGAACAGATGTAGGGGCAGAGCCACGGGATGCCAGGAGCCTAGTGAGCTCCCTGCAGGAGACAGGTCTCCACTTTCCTCATGTTAAGTGATTTTAGAGGGAGCAGCAGTGACTATTGATTACTGACTCTCTTGGGAAAACCTGGTAAACCAAGAACTGGGGCTACCTGAGCCTTCCCAGACTGTCTCCCCCACTCCTAGATCCAGGCACATTCTGGGATTCCAGCATGGGACACCTGGAGCACAAGTTCAGTAAGACAAGGTACATGGGAGTTCTCTGGAAACCATAAAGCGTCCTATGGATATGAGGCACTGTTATTCACCGAACCCCTTAGACTAAAAAGATAAAGACCATAGTCACAAGTCAACACTCATGAGGGAAGAAATATTTGTTAAAGATGAATAATACATATAATCCCAATCAAGATCCCCCCAAGTAGAAATTCCAGTAATGTGAGGGGACATTACACTTGGTATGTTTACTTGCCTGTTAAATATTCTTCAACAATTAAAAATCCCAACCGAGGCAGAATACGGAGCTCTTAATAAGCTATCATACTGATTTATTGAAATGGAAGTCCATAGCTAATGTATTTCCAAGGAGTTTTTTGACATATTACAGACCTTAACTAATTAGGTTAATTCAATTCAATTCAATCACTCACTGAGTAACTTCCAAGTACAAGGTATTGTGCTGGCTACTGTGGGGTTTGCAAAGATGACCCAAACCGCCTGCCTTCTAGTCGTCTTCTAGTTTCCTGGCCAACTCATCTTCTCAGTTTCCACTGCAGATCGGGAAGGAGCTATCTCTCCTTTCACAAGTGGAGACGGAAGGCAGTCTTTACATTCTGTGCCTGGCCTACAACCCAGGAAATACATTTTCCAGGAACAGATTTCATTAAAAAAAAAAAAAAGTCAAGGAACTTCTTGATACTTGCTGACGGAGGACGCTGTCGGGTGCTCATTTCTATGTTCATCCTAGCCCAGCTTACATCTAACCACTCTTGTCATGATTGCATAACCATACATGTCAAGTTGTTTCTTGTTGCAACTGTAACTTGTAAAATTAAACTTCAGAACTGAGATAGTCAAGCTAAATAATTGCCTACTTTAAGAATATGTATATGTATAATTTGTGTGCCACTTTAGATAAGCCCTTGAATTATGAGCTCTTAAAGTCACAACTGTCACCAATTACTAAAATACAGTTTCAGTGTTGCAATTCCCCCTGCAGACAGGCCCTACCCTTGTCTTCTCAGTTGTCTAAGCAGTATGTTATACTAGTCTATTACGATCTGCTTTTCATGTTTTAACAAGAACTTAATACAGGGTGCCTGGGTGGCTCAGTTGGTTAAGCGACTGCCTTCGGCTCAGGTCATGATCCCAGGGTCCTGGGATCGAGTCCCACATCGGGCTGCCGGCTCAGCAGGAAGCCTGCTTCTCCCTCTCCCACTCCCCCTGCTTGTGTTCCTGCTCTCGCTGTCTCTGTCTCTGTCAAATAAATAAATAAAATCTTTAAAAAAAACTTAATACAACATTTACTTCTCCCATGCTATGGGACTTCTGAAAGTCCCAAGAAGGACCATAAAAGGGCCCAAAGTGTACTTGTATGTGCCTCAGGTGGCACCAAGTTGTACTGATAAGTTCAAGTGAAGCTGGGGATATCTATCACACTTAGGATCCCCCCACCATCATGACGGGATCGAGTCCCTGCCCTCTCCTGTCTCTCCTGACCTCATGGGAGGGGCCGTGCCACCCCCTCTCTCAGCCTGGGGTGTCTCACTCTCTGAGAGAAAATATCCAGTAGAAAGGGGGCTGGTCACGAAGAGCCTGGAGCAAGCCACTGGAAATGTAACAGTCAAGGCTTGCCTAGTGGAAAATCCGGCACAGTGCTGAGCCACCATCTGCCTGGAAATGAGACTCCTAATCGGGCAAACCACCTTCCTCCTTGGTAGGATTTTTAATCAGTCACAGCAAGTAGTACCAATTAACGAACAAGCTCTTGATTTGCACCCTGTGATTCTTCAAGAAGCTCAAACCAGGGGCGCCTGGGTGGCTCAGTCGTTAAGCATCTGCCTTCAGCTCAGGTCATGATCCCAGGGTCCTGGGATCGAGCCCCGCATCAGGCTCCCTGCTCTGCGGGAAGTCTGCTCCTCCCTCTCCCACTCCTGCTGCTTCTGTTCCCTCTCTCTCTGTGTCTCTCTGTCAAATAAATAAATAAAATCTTAAAAAAAAAAAAAAAGCTCAAACCACTTCAAACAGTGGCCTATTAATTCCCAGAAATCCATGTGAGATGATAAAATAAGATAGGGAGAAAGGGGTGACGGATAAATTACTAGCCAAGAAAACAAAATGATCAGTTCTCTCAAAAGAGTGAAAATGAGTCAGTGCTGCAGAGGGAAGCTAGAACCTCAGGGTTCTTCCAGGATGAACTTTCAACGTTGGATAAAAGACCTCCACACCAACCAAGGGAGGTAAGCTTGACCACAGAAGCACCCACTCCTCCTCAGGCATCGGCTCATCCAAGAGCTAAGTTTGCTTGTCTTTGCTTTGCCCAGTGGTCCTCCAGAACTGTTCTCTGAACCCCGTTTGCCCAGCAGGAAACGTGAGGGGAAGTGACATTTCAGTGCTGCATTTTGTGATCAGTAAGTGCTGGTCCCAGCAATGGTTTAACGAAAATAAATACACTCACCTATCACCAACACTTCCCATTTCACAAGGGGCAAAACAAAAATAGCTGATCAAGTCCAAATTAATTTCCAGGTCTGTTCAATTGTATCTCCAGAGAGCCAACACACAACATGTTCTATTGGCCCTACAATCCAGCTCTAGAAGTATGAAAAAGGGGAGAAAACCCCCCAAATTGAGCATCTTGGAATGAAAAACCCTTCAAAAACATCACCTTCTCCTCTCCTCCCGCCCCCCCCCCCCCGCCCGCCCAGTACATTCCAACTCTACCAAACTAAAAGGTTATTATTAGGTGAAAAGTGAGTCCACCCCCTTGAGTAGGGAGGTTTTCATAACATTTCTCTGTGTAATGAACATGCCACTTCCCCAAACAGTCCATACTGTTTCCTTAAAAAAAAAAAAAAAAAAAAAAGTGTTTCATGGAATCTATGGTGTGTCAGCCCCCCTCCCAACGTCTGAGTCAGAGCAGAGCATGTGTGGGTCTTCAACCAAGGTTCTGGATGATCAGGGTGTATCACTTTCAGAGTTGCTCCAATAGCTGAACTTATGGCTGTCTTCCAGCCACACACAACATAAGCACTATCTATTTTAAAACAAATTTCCTAACCCACATGCGATGGAAGATACCTCATAGGGAGGCAGGTTTCCTACTGAAACAAATCGCTTCTATCCCCAACTGTGCTTGTCATCACTCAGGATTAATGCGTGTTTCTGTGTATGTATTTTTATCTTTGACCATGTAACTCCTGGAGAAAAGAAAGCCACCTCAAATTTGACCAACGTGCCTGAGCCAATTCAGAGCTTTAGAAGAGGAATGAATGGGAGATGAGAGCCCTTAAGCCCAGGGACTTCTCTCACACAAACAGTAAGTGGGGGGTGGGGGGGAATCCCTCCGTGGGGGTAGGAGGCAGGGTGGATGATCGGGGAAGGACATCAGCAGCCGTGGCGGCCGCACTTCGCGGACTGCCTGCAGAGGGGAGGGAGATCTCTTCCGTGTACAGTACCCAAGCACCCTCTGCTGCTGCCTCGCATGGGCACGAATAATAAACACACCGAGGTGAGCATAAACACACCGAGGTGAGCAAACAGATGCACCGAGGCAAGCCACCCCCAAAAGGTCAAAACTTCAGAAATCCCGGGGATCCCAGCACCCATCCAAGCACATCAATCGGTCGGAGCGGGAGAAGGGACTCGAAGACAGAGCACAGGATTCTGAATTCTTTTTCTTTCCAGATCTGGCTCGCAAAGTACGGTGGCTACATGCACAGCTCCGAGAGGAGCAGGCAGGCTGAGGGCGGCGGGGGGGGGCGGGGAGTGCGGGTGGGAAGGGAGGGGTGTCTCACACCAGCCACCCAGGCCTCAATGTGACGAAAGTCGTCAGCAGCCCCAACCGCATCCCAGCCCCTCCGCCCCGGCGAGCAGACGCCCCCACCCCAGCTTCCGTCCCCGCACTAGGCAGCAGCAGCCCCGCGCCGGGCCGCGCGCCCGCAGCGCCACCACCGCGGCTCCCATCCCTTCGGCGCGGCAGACTCCCCGCAGGCCTCCCTCCCAGCCCACCCGGGCTCGCCGGGGAGCCGAGTCGCGGGGCCGCGCCGCCCGCTCCCCCCCGCCCGAGGCCGGCGGGGGCCACGCTTACCTTGGGCGCTCGCGGGGGGGGCCGAAGGTGGCAAGCCTCCCGCCCCCCGCCCCTTTCCTCCTCGCCTTTTCTCTTCCTCCCTCCTCTCCTCTTCCTTCGCCTCCCCACAGTGAGTCCGGGTGTCCCCCTCCTCCCCGCCGCTCGGAGTAGACGCCGAGAACCCCGGAGCCCAGCCCGCGTGCGTGCGTGCGGGAGGCGACGGCACGGGGCCAGCTCTCCAGTAACTGAGCGCGGCGCGCAGCTCCCAACTAAAGTGTGAAAGAAGCGGCGGCCGCGAGGCCGCGGCGCGGAACGTTCCCCCCGGGAGTGGGCAGGCAGCGAGCGGGAGCGGGCTGGGAGCAAGCGAGGGAGGGGACCGCCAGGGAGGGGCGGAGGGAGGGAGGGGCCCTCCTCGCCCAGTCACTCACTCGAGGGGCGGGGCAGCCAGCCACGCCCCCGCCGCCGGCCCCTCCCCGCGCCCCGCTCCGCGCTGCGGCCCGCTTCCCTCCCCCGGGGAGGGGCCTGCCGAGACCGCCCGGCCGCCAAGCCCCGGGAGGACCGCTCCGGGCGAGCGGGCGCGCGGGGCTGCGGGGAGGGAAGGAGGGCGCCGGCCGGCACCTATGCGCGTGTGTGTGTGTGTGTGCGCGCGCGCGCGGGCGCGTGCTAGGAGCCCGCGGGCCGGCGGGAGGGGAGACCCCGGCGGGAAAGCTGCGTGCGGGCCCTGTCACCCGGGAGGAGGCGCGGGTGTGGCGGGGCAGCTCCGAGGCCGGAGGGCCCAGCTCTGTGGTAGACCCGGCCCGCCCCTGGGCCCTGCCGCGGGGCTGCGCCTGCTGGGAGCGGACGGAGGGAAGGCCGGGCACCCTGGGCGCGCCGCGCGGCCCCTCCCCTCCCTGGCTGGATGGCCGCAATGCCGCGGCTCCGGCTCGGCCCCCGAACCGCCTCCAGCCTGCCCTGGAGCCGCGGCGCCTTCCAGATGAATGAAGCCCAGGCGACCCGGCGGAAGCGGCCCTGCGGGGGAGAGCTGTGCGCCTCCAGCCCTGGCCGGAGACTTCGCGCCCTGCTCCCCCTCCCCGCCCTTCCCGGCCCCTAGGGACTAGAAGGGCGGAGGCCGCGTGGGCTGGGCGCGTCTGGGATGGTTGAGGGTCCAGAAAGATCGCCGTTCAGTCTTCTGTGGGCATTCACAAGAGGCCACCCAATTTTCCACCCTTTGGGAGAAGCTCTTTCATTTTTCCCCTCTCCTCGGTCACCTCGGGTGTTCGGTGCGAGCACCGAATGGATCTTTCCACATTGATAGCGGTTGGACGTCTTTTGTGCGGCTTCCCGGCGCTTCGCTGCTGCGGCATTGCCCCAGACACGTGAGGAATGCCAGGCCTCCAGAGTGAGGGACGCCCTAGAAAACAATAGGGGCAAAAGATAACCCCCGGGTCTCGTGGATTGCACACAAACCGAACCATGTCTCACTTTCCAAGATGAAGTTGGGAAATGGAAAAGGACACGTCAGAGCCGTGACAGTGATAAGACACTTAATTGAAAAGCAAATTCATAATTTAGTGTAATGAAATGAGTTAATAACCACCCATCATGGATGGGAAGTCAGGCTTTAAAAAAAAAAAAAAAAGGTTTTCCAGTGCTTTTTCTTTCTCAATTTGAAAGGCTGGTATCACGTTGTTTTTGAAAATAAACTTGTGTTCTGTTTTTTAAATTACCCATATTCTAGTTCATTTTTCTCCTTGGAACCAGAACTCTCTGTCGTCTAAAGAGGAATGGTTAAGAAGGGAGAGGAGGCAAATTAGGATTCCAATCAGGCGCTGCCAGCCACCATCTCTATCACCCTAGGCAACCCGTTTCATTTCTGTCAGCCTTCCTTTCCTCAGCTGTAAAATGGGATTGATGATTCTGGCTCTGGCCTCATAGGCTTGTTGTGAAAGTAAAAGGAAAATGAAATGAGGTGCCAATGTGTGTAAAGCACTTTGCATAATGACACATGGTAAGAACTCACTAAAGATGAGCTGTTATTTCAGATATATAGTTTAACCCCAAATTTGGTAGACTTTTTTTTCCTAATCTTTGCATTTCTTCTTAAAGTTGGGGGAGGGATCCATCTGCTGGGTTTATGCAAATATAGTCAACTCTTCTTTGGGGTTTTTAGGCCATGCCTAAAGCTTCCTATGCTAAAATGAAAGAAATAATATGACTAAGATGTGTGTGTGTGTTTATCTATGTAAAAGGATCCTTACAAGTCACAAGCTTTTGTCTCCCCCACCCCCCACTTCCCTCATCTACACAGACCACCCTGAATAGACCAACTCTGTAAATTGTTGACCTGGGTTGAATTCTGTCCCTTCAGGCCTCAGAACGGTGACTGACACTGTGGATTGTTGAGGGCAAGGCAATGTCGGTCTCCTTTGACTTGGTCTCCTCAGAACTAACAGAAGGCCACAAAGCAAGCACTTCATACATGTATAAATTAAAGGGCATCTGTACTATGAACTTTTAAAGCAAGTTTTAAATTATTCAAAGGAATACATGTTCATTGCCGAAAATTTAGAAATTTTGGAAACTCGGCCAAGTATGAAGAAAAGAAAAATCACCATAATCCTATCATCCAGAAGGAGGTACTAAATAAATGCTTCAAGGATATTAATTTTCCCTTCATTTATTTCATTATTATTTCATCAGCAAACATTTATTAAGTACCTAGACAACTTCCTAGGGCAGAGAACAGGTTGTATGTTGTTAAGTGTTTGTTTCTCAATAGACACTACTTAGAAGTAACATTTTATATGGTAGGTAGTGAGGTTCTCAGGATAGTCTGCAAACAGTCCATGAAGGGAATCTGTAATTAAACAATAGTGTTGACCAGAAATAATCCAGGTTTTACAGGGCTGGGAGCACAGTTTGGGGAGCCAAATCTTCTAGATAAGGAAGACAAAAGTACAAAAACCCTTTGGAAGGGTTCATGTGAAATGAGGGGTCTCGAAACTTAAGCCCCTTTTAGCTTTTTAGTAAACCCTCTTTGGTGCTGTAATTTTTGTAGAAATTAACTGCTTTGGTAAACATTGTTTTAGTGAGAAAACTCATTCTTCATTTGACCTGGGATCCCAGGGACACCTCTCCTCCATCTGTCCTCCCCACCACATGTGGAAGACACAAGAGTGGAGACTCCCACCACACACACACACACACACACACACACACACACACACACACACACACACACACTTTCTTGCACATGGTCATAGGAGAGACAGTGGGACCGTGGGGACTTTGGCAAGGACAGCAGAAGAGAAGAGCACAGGAGGAAGGGAGGGGGTAGACAGGAGAGGCTCTGAGGGGCTAGAGAGGCAGGATTCTAGCACAAACCATGCAAATCTGTTTTGGTCAGCACAAGCTAAATCTACTAGATATGTTATCACAGAATAATCTCTCTAGCTATTCATAATTATTAAGGTAACTCTAAACATACAAAAATAATGAAAAACATGATTATCCCCTCTGGTTACAAGTAATAAAACCATCACCTCTTTGCCCTTCCACCCCAGCAGAATCTCTGAATTCCATATCTTCAAATGCTCTACCTATAATTTTCAAAGAAAAATGATATCCTTTATGCTCAGAAAATTTGCATTTTTAAACTTTAAAGTCTCTACTCTTATAATTAATTTTCTTTTATTCCTAAAGCTTTAATTTATAAATACTTGGCACTATAGGACCATTCATAACAAATAAGTTTGAATGTTTTGTTTCTTATTTTTTCTTTTAAGTAGATTGAACGTTTGTATGCCCCCAAATTCCTATGTTGAAGCCCTAACCCCAGTGTCGATGCTATTAGGAGGAGGTAGAACTTTGGGAGATGAGGTCACGAGGGTGGGGTCCTCATGATGAGATTATCTCCCTCATAAGAAGAGAATACAGAGCTCTCCCCTACCCCATCCCACCCATGACACAGCCATCTGGATGGAAATGGAAGCCAGGAAAAGGGCCATCACCAAAAACTTGACCATATTGGCACCTTGATCTCAGACTTCTGCCTCCAGGACTGGAGAAATAAACATCTGTAGTTTAAGTCACCCAGTCTGTGGTATTTTGTTATAGCATCCCCAGCTAAGACAGATAGGTTCCCTTCCCTATTGACTATAAAAAGGAAATGAAGGAAAATTCAGGTTGATTGAAAAAAAAGTAGTAAATGCTGTATATGCCGCCTCCTAGAATATCTCATATTGATCAGCATGAATTCATTTTATGTCATTTGTTTTTAAAAAGTACTAATCAGGTTAATTTTTCTGAATGATCAAGTTAAAAGTAGCTTTGGCAAGATTATTCAAAAACAAGCGATCCTAAAATAAGTACTACTCTGAAATGTGCTTTCTTTGTATTTGCTCCATGCAGTAACAGCTAACACTGATTGTCAGCTGTGTATTAACCAGGCATCATGTAATTCATAATGTATGTGAACTAACTCACTTCATCTTCCCCAACAATGCCATCAGGTAGATACTACCATTCTCATCATTCCCACGCAGATGTGGAAATGGAAGCACAGAGGGGTAAAGTAATGAGAGCAAGGCCAAGTGGTAAAGCCAAGGTTGGTTCTCACTAGTCAGATGCCAGAGCCCACACTCTGTTGGAAATATATTTTCTCTTCCATCTCCTCCACTTTTTCGCTTCAATTTTACTCAACCAGGTGAGGTTCCAAGTCTAAGTCCTAAAGGGAGGTCTATCTGAGCAACCCCAGCCTTTAAGTCTCTGAACTTTTGTGTAGCCATAGTCTTCCTCCTTTGCTGAAATTTTGCAACTTTATGCTGTTGGGGACCTTCCACATCTTTTATGTTAGCTCCACCATCATGACCAGTAGCTAGTGGTTTGAGACTAGATAGTTGTGTGTGTTAAATCTGCCTTTGGGGAGGGACCACAATGCACAGGCAGGTAAAGCACCCAACAAACAGTTGCGGATTGAGGGTTGTTTATGTACAGGTATGTTTATACTGGTTAATTCCAGTGACACCACACAGCCCCTCTGAATGGTTGGGGCTACATCAGAGCAGGTAGCTTAAAGTCAGTGCTAATAACTTGCGAATGGTTCTAATTGGTCTCTCAATGATGTGTGAATTACTCTGAGTAACTTGCTTTTCTAGATCTGTAAAATAATGACTCTGACTTAGATCCATTTATTTCTTCCTTGGGTTTCTCCCTAGGGTCTATATGTTCTTTTATCTCGCTTTCCAAATCTGGGTAGACAGAAGATGAAAACGTGTAACAGTCACTCAAAGCAGGGACTGTTAAGAACCCATAACCAAGAAGTGAGATTCAGCCCCAGGCGAAAGAGATGAAGGAGGGCCGGGATCTCAGACGCCCAGGAGAGGTCAGCTAA